GGGGGGGGGGGGGGGGAGGTGAGTCTCTGGGCCCCTGGGCCCTGATTGGTGCGGAAAGGGAATCCCAAGTCCTTGAATCATATTTTACCCCTTCAAAACTTCTGGCCCAAATCATTACCAGAGTGGTGCGGAAAGGGAATCCCAAGTCCTCCAATCATTTTTTCCCTTTCAAACCCCCTGGGCCAGGTCACTGCCAGCCAGCCCCTCATCTTTTGACACTCTTCCATGAAAACAGGTTTTCTGTCTCTGTTGGAAGCTGAAGTAGACGCCTACTCCCTGCCACTGGTGGGAGGAAGTTATAAGTAACACTTGAGGGGGGCAGGGTGTGCAGCTCAGGGTCTGGCAGAGGGGCATGAGCTGGTATGAATGAGCATAGCCCGGTGCAGGAGGCCAGCTGAAACATCCCTGCTCTCAGGCTTTCATTGTTCTGGTATTAGACACCCCTTTGTTTTTCCTCCCTCCCCAGGTGCAGAAGATCGGTGTGTTCAGCTGTGGCCCCCCAGGAATGACCAAGAACGTGGAGAAAGCCTGTAAGCAGATCAACAAGAAGGACCAGGCCTACTTCGTGCATCACTATGAGAACTTCTAACCGCCTCCCATCCCTGTAGGATACCCAGGCCTGCCCCACCAGCAGGACTGTTCTGTGAACAGCGGTGTCCTTGACCGATCTAAGTACTTCTAGGTCCTAGGGAAGGTTCCTGCTACTTCTCAGATGGGAGCTGTTACACATCTATAACATTTCTGTTCCTGCAAGCTTGGAGGAGGACTGCCTCTGAACCACAGCTGAGCTGCTGCGGCAGGATGGACTTGCAAAGGTTTCTGAGATTATTGCCCAGCGTGTGCTGCATGGACTGTGATGATCTGGAGACCCCATGGGCAGCATGGCCCAGCAGACAGTGCTTCCCTCTCACCCCAGGGGCCCACAGTGTCTCCCACAGAAAAGAGTGCCTAGAACTTTCCAGCAAAACACCTGCATTGCAGCAGAGGTGCAAAGCTTCAGCAACTTAAATTACAGTGGCCCAAAGAGTTCTGGGATGCAACCCTGCCCCGGTAAAGTGAACAGCAAAGCTCCCATTGATTTCAACAGAGCCAGGACTCTGTCCCTGGCATAAATGAGCAATCCAGTGTGGGGGCAGACAAAAATCACACATCTAAGATCCCCTGCATAACTGAAGTTGAGGACAGGCTGCAGCTATCTGGCCTGAGTATCAGTCGGCTAGGGCACCAACAGGCTGTCCTGAATAAAAGTGTCCATGCTAGTATTAAATGCAGCTGAGGCAAACCAATTTACAGTCAGAGCCTAAGCTAATTTGGATCAGTGTTTGTCAGTGATCCTGTGTAGACAATCTCTGTTAACTTCACTAATTCATCTCCCTTGCTACAGTTTATTAGACTGTACTCAGCTCATCTGTGGTTGTTTCCTTTTGGTATTTAAAAGCTTAGCTTTTCTTTTATATTTGCATTTACTTTTCACTCTTCAGTTTGATTGCTGCTGTTAATACCTATTTAAATAATGACTTGATATAGAAGAAGGAGAAGTATTCTGAAGTCTGGCAGAAGGCAAGGTAGAGATGCATCCCAATCTGGTATGGATACCACCACTACTACAAGTTAAGAGTGTTATTATAATTATATGACAAAAATGTGCTGGTGGTACTTAAGGTTGAACTGAAAAATTTGCTGGTGGTACTTAAAGTTGTATCATTTTAAATTGGTGGTGCACAATTTGTCAGAGTTTGGGAACCACTGGCATAAACTTATGTAAGGTCCCTTCACAGCAGCTGATGAATCAAGCCTGCTGCTTATACAAGTTTATGCTATGCACCTCTCATCTAGTTAGTCTACAAGGTGCAAATCTAGCTTGCCTTGCTAAAGGACAACTGCAAACTGTCTGATGTAGGTAATCACTTTTAAAAATAATTCTGAAAGTTTAACTATATTTTTATTTGGATAAGGATGAACTCTTATAGATAGGCTGTGGGTGAGTAAATTGAAATGGCTTTGATTTTAAGGTACTTCCTTTCCTTTTTTGCATCCTTGTGACAAGGTATTTAGCAACATTCACAGATTTGTTGGAATCAGACAGGGCTACACCATAAGCACCTGTGCTACAGCTTTGAACTTGCAATCTCTGGGCTGTCAGCTGTTCACCTTAGGACGTGTGGCACCCCAGCCCCCGTTTTGAAATACTAACAAAATAAAAGCAATTACAGAAGCCAAGGCAAAAATGTCTCTTGTAATTAGTGATAGTGGTGATTGCTGTTTGGTATTCAGGCATCAATGACTAATAAGAGCTAATGTTCGTTCCATACCTCGAAGGAATTGCGAGCGTAATGACACTCTTGAAAGTGATTGAACCAAAACTGAATTTAAAATGGATTGGTTAGACCACATTAAACCTCCATGTAGATACAAACTGCCCTTCCTTCACCCACAAACCAGATTACAGCAACTAGAGTGAGAGCATCCACACAGGAATTTAATTCAGTTTAACCAGTTAGCTTTAGAAGCTTGTTTGGATTAACGTTGCTGAGTGCCCTAGACAAGCCCTTAACTGGAGCAAGTAACAGCATGGCCACAGGCACACAAACAAGTTTACAGTGAGGGAAAGGCAGGCATGTTCCATCCATGGTAACTGCCTTTGTGCTCTCTTACCCCACAGAAAATAGAAGATAAAACCATAATGACTTGGATGTCTTTCACAAAGGTGAAAGTCATGGCAGCTTACCTTTCATGAGCTGCAGGGAAAGAGCATGGAAATGGGCAGCTAACCTGCTGTGCCTCCTTTTTCCTCTTGATGATTTGTTCCTGTGGCCACAGCTAGATCCCAGCAACCTGTCACCACTGGCTTGGATTCTGCTGCTCTCTCCAGAAGCTGCCCCGAGATCTGGGGAGTGATATTAGTGTAAAGCCAGGGTGGATGAAAACAGAGCTAGTTTACTAATCAGCACTGGTGGCCTCTGCAGTAGGATGTTGCAGTGATTGCTATCTTGTCTGATCATCACAGGAATGGAGCCAAGGACTCTCAGAACCAAGAATCTCCAGAGCTTTGGCTTGGGGGCAGGCTTTCCAGCTGGTAGTTTTACTAGCTTTGCTTCCCTACAGACAGAGGCTGGGTGGGACACCCAGGCCAGGCTAACTGATAGGTCTCACACATCCTGCATTAAGATGCTGAAACCAGATGCCCAGGTTATTTATGAGCACAGCACAAAAAATTATGCTCGTGGAGAGGGGTTCCCACCCATAATCAGTGCAGGCATTTCAGCTGCTCTGCACAGAGACACAAGGTCAAAGCAGGGCTTGAGATATGGCTTTTAAAGCTCTCCTAGGTGGCATCAGTACTAAGACCAGGGAGTAGAGACCATTAGACCTGTCAGGGGTCTCCCTGCTCCTGCAGCAAAAGACTATAGCTTCTTCAGCTAATGTGACCTCTCTGAACGTAGTTGAGCCAGGACCTAGCACGAGGCATTTCCCCCACAGCCATCTGGTTGCTGAACCTGGCTGCTGCCTCTGGCCCCAGGACTGGCCAAGCCCCAAAACAAGGACTTGACCATGTGGCACTAGTCACAGAGCTGATACTGTTCTTTCACCCTGGTAGCGTGAATGAGCCTGGGCTTGTCTCCAGTACAGCAGGCCTATAATTACAGCCTAGACTCAGTCCAGCTGTGCTCCCTTGCAGAAGTTGAATCAAGCCAGGAGGGTGGGTGACTAAAGTGAAAACCCCAATTATGAGGCTACAGAGCATCAGCACTTCAGATTATTAGCACCATTACCCCAAACCCAGAGGTTACAAGGGCTCTGAGTCATGGGAAGGGGATGAGTTTCCCACAGAGCTGCCTGATTTCACAGGCACGTTCTTATTAGAATTAATAGATTGCTTTGAATCTCCTGGTCCCACCGTCTTCAGCGAATAACTCGGGTAGAGCACACACCCAACACCAACTTCTCCAAGGGTTAGCTCTAGAACTGAAGTTTCCCAGGAAGCAAGGAGAACATCCAGGGAGTTCATCAAACATCCTAGGATGTCTGTGGTGGAGAGAGATAAGAAAAGCATGTGCTGGCAGGGAGTATAGTCAGGAGACCCATTCTCCTTGATTTAGAGAGTTCATGTGACTTGCAAGAGTGCTCACTCCAGAAACTCCCTCATGCGTCCGGCAGAATGAGGGAGTTGAATTTCTTGGGATCCAGGGCCTCCTGGGGCTTCCAGTTCCCCAGCACAGGCACTGGGAACCTGCTGCAGCCTCTCTGCTTGTCCTGATGAGTCAAATACTTCCCTGTGGGGGTGAGCAAGTTGTGATCTGGTAAGCTCCATACTCACCACCCCACTGGGAACAGGCTCAGAGGCCCTGGGGTTGGGTGCTGTTGGAGAGCCTGGATGGGTTGGCCTAAATCAGGGGACCTCAGCCAGTCTGCAGTCCCTGCCACCCACCCCCAGCCCACATGGTGGGCCCTTCAGCCTGGCTTGTCCAACACGCCAGGGCTGTCTGGGATCTGGGCAGTGGGCACTCAGGGCCCCCTCCAGGCATTCTCAGTCCTTTTGGCAATTTGTGAGAGTGTGTTTGTTTTCAGACCCCTGTGAGTAGGAAGGACAGCGAGCCCCATGGACAGTGGCAGCCTCACTGCAAAAGGGTCCTATGAGGATGCATTTGGGGGCTCCTCATAGATAGCAACTACATCAGCTTTTAACTCCACCTGCCTATCTTTTATGCTGAACTGACTGCAAAGCCTGCACAGATGCAGTGTCCTGCAGACAGCTACATCTACACAGGCAAGTCCCAACAGGTGACACAAGTACCTGTGCTCCTGTACCTGTGTCCCACCACTGGCTGTGATCTTGCCCTGATTCTTGTCTCTGGACTTCTGTTCCTACCCCTCCTCTTCATTTCCCAGGCCTAAGCATTAGACCTGGCTTTCCATGATCCAGACATAACATCCAGGAGCTTTCTGAGCCTTTGGCCCTTGATCCTCAATAAACCTTGGAAAATCCAGAGAACTGGAAGCACTGTAGTGTCAGCAGATAAAAAGGAGGATGCACAAAATTACAAATGGGTCAGCTTGACATTGGGCAAAGTCATAGAAATGGCAATACTGGACTGACTTTATAAGGGACCCAATCAACATGGTTTTATGGAGAGCAGATTTTGTTTGATGAACTTGCTGTTGGCTTTCTGATGAGATCACCTGGTTGGCTCATAAAGGTGTTTCATGTAATAAACATAAACTCTGCAAAGCCCCGGAGGTCCCTGCTTTGCATTCTCACTCAGGCAAGCAGGACCTGAGTAACTTTGCAGCTCTTTCATTCCAGAGGTCCCCTCCTGTAGACAGAGCCTACCAGGGAGACACTGGGGCAACATCTGGGCTTACGTATCCATACTAGGAAGCCTTAGCTTGCTGAGGCTCTGGGGATCCCAGAGGTATGCAATTTAGCTATGGTGCAGCTGACCCAGAAGTCGTGAAGGGGTGGAACAGGAGTGAGGTACCATGGAAATGCCTTTCTTAGGAGTAGAGGTTGAGGCACAGAAAGATAGGAGTATTATATTGTAAATTCTATAGCACAGTCCCTGCCCTTGGTTCTTACCTTTTGACCAGAATTGCTTCACACAGGAATTATCGGTGATTTTTTTTCTCGACAGCCTCCCTGCCTGCTTCCGGCCTATGGGCTAAAGGAGTTTTGCACTAGTTTTATAAACGGTGGGTCTGCTCCTTTGCTTGGTGTCAGTCAGAGAAAGGCCTGGGTCTAGTGTGTACGTAGACTTGCGCAAAGATGCCAACACACATCCTTTCACATAGTCTAGCTTGTATCTGAAAGACAAAGCAAGCTACTCAGCTGCTAGAAGTGTCAATGGATAGCTGCTTGCCACAGTACTGTGTGATGACAGAAAACAGATCAATTCAAACACAGTTGTTAGCTTATAAAACCAAGAGGAAGTAAAAGCTGGCTGGGCAAGACCTCTGCCAAAAGAAGCTTTCATCTTTACCCTACATTACACAGTTCTGGGGAACTTGAACCTCCCTTCCCTGCCCCAGCTTTATAAAGCCCTTTTGCTCCTTGTGGCTGATTTGTCAGGTGAGGAATGTGGACAAGGAAGCTATTGTTGGGTTGGCCGTTGGGCTCCAGTACTAGGGCAAAGATCCTGTTTGTACATAGAGTGACCGGCAGGAAACGGATACCTTGTGAGGCACATGTAGGGTGGCCATCATAGAGGACATTCCAGTTTTCTGCTACTCTGTCCTCTATTGATACAAAACCAGATGCCTTTACGTCCTCTATTTTTCTCTTCAAGACCAACAGGATCATTGCACATTCAAAAGAAAAATAGAATAGATAAATGAGTTTATCAAAATGGGTTTCTCTCTCTTTTGCCTGACTTTAGAATAAC